CTAATTTTCATATTTCTAGTCTATCCCTCCCCGGTTCTGTTTGTAGATTATTCCGAAGTGCACGGCTGTCAAAGGTTCTTTTACCAAGCTTTCACTGCACTTGCGTCACCCATCTGTTGCACAACGTTTCATGCTATCAGCGTTGTTGAACTGGTCACCTTATCATCACCATCGTCATTGACAGCAGTCAAGCAATAATAGCTACTAGTGCTTAAACTCTAATTTTCTGATAAAATTTGAAGACATCATAGAAGAAGCCCTCCTTTCAGTCTTCATGAGGTTGACTGGAGCTCAGGATTAAAGAACTAATTGACTTGCGTTCAGCAAATGCGCGGTCGTCATGCACACACCGGAAATTCCTTTGTCCTGTCTTCACTGGACTGGTATCAGATAGGTGTAGACAAGCACATCGCTGACTGACGTCTACGAACACCGCAAACAAAACGCGCAGAGCAGTCCAGGCTAAAGCGCATTTGACTGCAGCCTCCACCTGGCTTGGTTCAAAGACAAACATGTAATTTGTTTCGAACGGTCATTAACCACAAACATTCCTTCCATATGACCTTGTCCGCGCTAAGATTGACGCTCACTAGCAGCGACAACAATGGCATGTAGCTGAAGACATTGTTGGCGGTCAGACAAACCAGCGTGTCGTAATGTGTGGTCCGGTCTCAGAGAATGTACCAAATTCATTGCCGTACTCGTTGATATCCGAGAAGATGAAACTTTGTGCGGACAGACAGACGATGGGAACATCCTAGGGTTAAAAGAGGATACTGTGTGTAGAACGGTGTAAATCTAGCGTCCACATTGTTTCACGAAAAAAACGAAGCAGGTGTGGAAATAACCGGAAAAATTTAGAGTGACAAAATCAAAAGCAGTTAGAAGAATGCTTGCAGAAACTAGTAGCTTCAAGAATGTGCTTAGACTGAATTCGGCAAACAAAGGGGAACACAATTAGCAAAACAAGCGCATGGGACAGCACTGTTATCTCGCATGGTTTCTCACATAAAAGTTCCTAACTTGCCCAATTCCACCAAGGGTTAATGGAATTCAGAGCTTTCCACCAACTGGCAACCATGACGGATAAAAACAGTTTAGTATGAGACCATTTCAGCTGTGGATCAATGTATCTTAGCCATGTAAAATTTCAACAAGTGATGTGATAAATATGCATTCTGCGGCTTCAGTAAACCGTGTGCTCCCCCAATCCATATTTAGTGAGTTTATTTGATGTTTATCTTGGCCTCCGGAATTGGAATTCACTTCGAAGCAGGGCAACCGCGCTTTGACCCGGTAGACTTACTGCCACCGTCCGTCGTCTAACTCATCAAACCAAATATGTGTAAGAAGTGGTTTGTGTCGCAGTAGAATTAAGGAGCCTGTTTATGTGAGTACAAACACTAATTTGCGATTCCCAAATAAGGATGTGATCGTGTGCTCCCTTCATGATCATACCCGGTGCGTGAAGCTAGACCGGTCAGTCAACGACGCATGCAATAAACCACCTTTGAACAAGCTTTGGAGCCTTTGTGCCTCTGTCATGATTTTTTGTGTATGAGGTGCCGGTTGCTAGTTGCATAATACCTCTTGGAGTAGGTCGCAACGGAAAATATTTTGTTCATCTTAATTGCGGTTAAAATTACCTGCTTTACTTTGTTTGAGGGGTTAGTTTGATTTCTTGTGCATTTGCACATCAGTTGCAACAAAGAATAGTGTTTATGACCTCGCTGTCTTTACTGGATGGTCTTCGAAACCCCGGTGTTCAAATTGTTTCTGGTGAGTGCCTTGTTGATCTGGAGTGCGCAGATGACATCGCCCTCATCTTTGAAGACCATAGCGAAGCACAAACCCTGTTGAATCGACTGATCACCATCATACCATCTTTTGGCATGCGCCTTGAATCTTCATAGTGCAAGTCCTGCTGCAGAACATGCCATCTGCGAACATATCCCTTACAATTCAAGGAGAATCACTGGAGATTGTGGAAAACTTTACGTACCTCGGTAGTTGCATTGGCTCTGATGGAAGTGTGTCTGATGAAGTCAGTGCAAGAACCTCAAAGGCTCGAATCACGTTTGCTAATTTGCGTCACTCGTGGCGTCAAAAGGGCATCTCACTGGATCTTAAGGGTAATGTGTACCAGGCTACAGTAAGGGCTGTGTTGCTGTATGGGTGCGAGACGTGGCCTCTGCTGGTAGCTGATGTTTAGGCGTCTTCAGGTTTTCAACCACCGATGCCTCAGAAGCGTGGCTGGTTGTGGGTGGCGTCAGTGTACTAGTAACTAGGTGATTAGAAAACGGGTATTTGTTTGTGTTGCAGGCACCTCAATCCGAGAAAACTTCCAGCATC